AGAGAGAGAGAGAGAGAGAGAGAGAGAGAGAGAGAGAGAATGGGGCGGGTGTTAACGGGGCGCGTGGCACGGTCGGTGGGGTCGTTTTCCAACCCAAACGGTGTCCCGCCAGAAGCCAAAAACGGCAAAAACAAAACACAAAACGGGAGGCCCTGCTGCTGGTACCTCTCTCCTAGGCCAGGCCACGGGAAAAAGGGAGGTACCACTAGCCCAGGCCACCTCCCGTTTTCGCCAATTATTGAACCGGTAGGCCGTCGAACGCATAGTCTACTGTTTTTCTTGCAGTTTCGAACTGGTCCTCGCCCAAACTTGCAGTCGACTGTTATTCCTGCGAATTCGAAACTGTGCAGCGGTCACAGGCGTAGTTGTCTCAAAAAAAAAAGAAAAGGGCACTGCCGCCGAAATCGTGCATGCGGTGGTGACTCCCGTTAGGGGGTCAGAAATTCCTGCCGAATGGACATTGGGTTAGAGTTTCTGATCCCGCTCGGCCCATACTGGCATCCTCCACGTGCATGCAACATGAGATAGAGGGAAACGTATTGAGTGATGCATAGAAGACGACTGGCGACACTGTGGTTGATTCAGACATATACGAAATCGATACGAGTATCAAGTTAAACAAGCACTCTAAGACTAAGGGTCTCGTTAGACACTCCGAAAAGAATCCTAAAATTTTTAGGACTCGTCCTAAAGGATTTTTAGGATTCCGTACGACGTCGTTACACGCAATCCTAAAAATCATCTTTTAGGATTCGTCCTAAAAGGTCTCCCACGACCGGTTTTCATATGCGTATACGCAGCCGCGTCGCCAATGTCCATCCATTCCTGCCAATGTCCGTCCAATCCCCGCCAACGGCTACCATTCGTGGCCGTTGCCTGCGTCGGCCCGCAGAAAACCTCCGATGTCCGACCACTGACCCGACGGACCGCTTCTGCACCAGCAACTCCGTGTCGACAGTCTATGTGTCCGAAATCGGATTCAACGGGGGTTTTGAGTTGAACGGTTCAACTCCCGTTCAACTCCCGTGTGTGTGTGTGTGTGTGTGTGTGTGTGTGTGTGTGTGTGTGTGTGATTGGGTGGGGGTTGGGGGGACGGCCCATCCCCCACCAGTCAATCAATCAATCAATCAATCAATCAAAAAAAAAAAA